CCCGAAAACGTAAGTGTTCAACGATTTGATTAGTTGATATAACATAACATCAAGTGATTATACATCCTTTAATCCATCCATTATGTGTTTTGCTTAGTTTTCCAAAAACACCAAGAACACACACTAGTGTTCTTGGACTTTTAGTTCATTTCAAGCTTCCACAATGTAAGTACTTCTATCCTAGAGTTATTTAAAGCTTTCTATACATCTTAATATCAAGGAAGTGTCACAAGAATAAGGTGTTCATGGTTTTGGGAGGCTCCCAAAACCGTAAACACCAAGTAAGGTGCAAAGTGGTGCCTTAGGTTGCCTAGATGCTTAACAATGCCTTAGAGACTTGTCTAGATCCATCCTTGATGAGTTTATCACACAAAAAGCACAAAAACCTCACATTTATATGTTTTTACGGTTTGGGGATCTCCCAAAACCGTAAACACCTCAAAAGTTGTATAAATGTCCCATATTTATTCCTTATGCCTAGAATCTAACCTAGACAATTACCATGTTGAGCTAAGGACTTGAAAACACCAAAAATACCATAAAACTTATGAGTTTACAGTAGTAAACTCAAAGGAAAATAGTAAAGGGACCATAAACTCCACTTAGGAGTGAAATGGGGCCCTAGTCCCTTCCATGGTCACATACATCAAGTAGAAAGGCTTCTAGGGACTCTCGAAGCTTCAAGCATCAAATGGTCACAAAGGGGGTGAGCTTAAGACTGTAAACTCAAGGGTTTACGATCGTAAAACCTTTTGATAGTAACCATAAAACCGTAAACTACTCAAAGGAGTGTTCCTTGAACCCCAAACACACTAGCCTTTCCGTACAACACTTAGATGCAACCCTTGAGACTTATAACACTTGTATAAGGTGTTTAGCATGTCCTAGAGTGTCTTAACTTTATTTATTAGTTGTTTAAGGACTAATTGTATACATATATATATATATATATGATATTATTATTGGAATAGTGTCTAAGGCTGCAACTATATTAGGCAAGTATTTGACCCGATTGTGCATAGTCCTTTTGGGTTGCCTTCACCATAGCAACTTGATAGGATGATTTATTATGAGAGAATAAATATTATTAATATATTATGAGAATAATATAAGGAATAATAATATTGTTATTTGATTAATATAAGTCATAAATTAATTAGTATTAATTTGGTGACTTAAAGAGATTAATTAAATAAGAGGGTATAAACTGTCAATTGTTTGATAGTTACACTTTAGACTGTAAATCCTTATTGGATGAAGGATGGACGGATTCTAGGGATAGGGATAACCTCAAATCATCCAATGCTTATCTAAGGAAAGGATTTGGATTGCTTTAAGGAAAGATTATCCAACAAGGGTTTAAGGTGAAACCCTTAAGGAGTCTACAAGTATAAATAGACCCTATGGCCAAGGGAAATCGGCATCTCATCAAATGTAGAGAACCCCTGGCCGATTTCCTCCTAACCTCTCTCTCAAATCATCCTCCTTTCTAGTTGGTGTTTGTAAGCCATTAGAGGAGTGACAATTATGACTCTAGAGCTCCGAGACAACAAGATCAAACAAGAGATTCAAAGGTAAACTTCTAGATCTGATGTTGTATTGTTCTTATACCTAATTAGTTGTTAGAAGTCTTGGATTCAAAGCATGTTTAATTAGAAAGCCTAGATCCAAGCATTAGGGTTTTGCATGCACACATAGGAAAGTTCTTATGGCTAAAACCCATCAGTGGTATCAGAGCCTGGATTGGTTTCTATTAAATTGTTGCTTGTTTGTTTGAAACTTGTTTGCAAAATTTGTTTTTTGTGTTTCTCAGTCATGGACTCGGCGAGTTCCATAGTGGACTCGGCGAGTTGGCCTGACTCGGCAAGTCCAAGCGTCAGGAAAGGCCAGATTCGGGATTTTTTGATAATTATCTTATGGAAACTTACCTTAATCATATTAGATCAACCCTAATCCGATTTTTTGATATATATATATGACTATAATCTTGATCTAATTAAAGATATTTATCAACTAATAAAATATTTAATTTCCTTATATGATAATTAATTAATTACTTTGATTAAATTGGTAATTATCTTGCAAGAAATCTTGAATAAATCTAATATAGATAATTAGGAAATTAATTGTTAATTAAAATTATTTGTTATTTGATCCTCCATGTTTTAAATGTTTAAAACTTTTCCTCAAGTTTTGAAATTTATGTTTTGTGATTAAAAGTTTTAATTTAGACAATTTAAATTTCAAACCCTAGTTTTTAAAAGTTTAAAATAAAACCCTATACTAATATAATATTACAAGATTAATATATATATATATATATATATATATATATATATATATATATATATATATATATATATATATATATATATATATATATATATATATGTATGTATAACTAAAATGCTAGTCTTACCGTTAGTAGGCCTCATTCACGAAGCCGATCTATAAGGTGGGTATAAGGTTGCGGCCTATAAAATGGCGCTTAATGGGTGTACACTCACACCCACCGCTTGCTTGATCGGTGGAGGGTCGTTAGCCGAATGGGTAGGATAGGGCAACCTCATCCTCTCATTAAAAGTATAATATGAAATACAAAGTAACTACATTTTTTTTTTAAATTTCCCAATCTTAGTTACTTTAGGAAAAATGAATTGATGCAATCCCATGAAATTTCACTTTGCACCCTTGCTAAGAAGTTAGAGGAGCGTGTGTGGTTTACCGGCACACTAATTGGTTCTAAGCAAAGGTGGCAAAGGGTGATTCATTGTTTATCATAGTTTGATGGAGCGTGTGTGGTTTACCGGCACATCGAATAGGTGATCGTTACAATGAAGGCACCATGTGAATTTGCATGGTAATTCAAACCCGCTTTGTGATCCTCGGTATCCCAGTCACAAACAAGAGGGGCATATCGAGATTTAAACATGTCATTGAATAGTTTCAATGAATCTCATCCGAACCTAGGAATTCTCAATACATTTAGGACTTCAAGTTATGTTTTATGGTGGAGAATTAGTGAATCATCATTCACTTACCTTCATATTATTTTCATGTTAGATTACGGCATCCCTTTTCTAATATGTAAATATTGTTGTTGGATCCTAGCCCTAATTTTCTTATTGGGTGATAATTAGGGAATCATATTCTAATCTATCTTTGTCCTTTCTATTTGTAGATGTCGAACGCAAACAACGCTGCTACTAGTTCTTTCACATTGATGAGCCTTTGTCAAAAGGTCACCTTTGATGAAATGAACTTTAGCGAATGGATAAGATACATTCGCACCATTGCTTGCTATGAGGATAAGGAGTATGTCCTCGATGAGAAGCTCGAGAAAATTAACCCTGAAATCGCTACTCCGGCTGAAATGACCGCTTTTGAAACTCACGAGCGAGATGCAACGAAGGTACATTGCATCATGATAGCCACTATGAACTCCGAATTCCAAAAGTCCTATGAGGACATGTACCCGTTCGAGATGCATCAAGACTTATTGGAGAGATACCACCAAAACGTGAGACAAGAGCGTTATGAGATTTTTACTAACATGATTTCCACTAAGATGGGTCATGGAGAGTCTCTTACCGTGCACCTGCAAAAGATGCAAAGGTATGTCGACCGTCTTCGCAAGTTGAATGTTGACTTTGGGGAAGACTTGGCGATCGACATGGTGCTTCACGCTTTGCCTCCAAGCTACAATCAATTTAGGATGACCTACCACATGAACAAATAGGAGGTCACCCTAAGCAAACTCCAAGGTCTCTTGAGGGTCGCTGAGAGCAACTTCAAGGACAAGTCTGTTGCACCAACTCCCAATCCACCCGCTGCTCCTGTCTTTGCTATTGGACAAGGAAAGGGAAAGAAGAGGAAGGCTTCGTCTAAGAACTATCGCAAGGTTAAAGCCCGAGATGGTACCTCTTCTAGTGGGACCAAAGTTAATCCTGCTAAGCCCTACCCTAACCCAAAGGAGGCAGAGTGCCACCACTGCCACACGATAGGACATTGGAAGAGAAGTTGCCCAGAGTACCTGCAAGCCATCATGGAAGGAAAGATCAAGCCGTCTTTCGTAGGTATATACACAATTAAATCTAACGATTCATCTCATGCTATTTCTTGGGTTCTTGATACCGGTTGTGGTTACCACATTTGTTCTAATGTGCAGGGACTAAGAAGAAATAGGGATGTGGAGGCTGGAAGAATAAATCTAATCATGGGGAACAGAAGATCGTCGCCTGTGACCAATATTGGAGTGTATTCTTTAGTTCTTAGGAATGGTTTAAGTTTAGATTTGAACAATTGTTGTTATTCGCCAGAAATGGCTAGAAACATCATTTCATTTCATGGTTTGTTTAGACAAGGTTTTAGATTTTCTTTTAATAATGAGAATGGTTCTATTTTGGCTTATCTAAATGGTGTCTTTTATTTTGAAGCTATACCATGTAATGGAATTTATGAAACTGTTATGATTGTTGATAACTTAGGAAATGATGTTTTCACTACTAGAAAAAAGACCTTTAATGACGTGCTTTTTACGACACGCGATAATTAACGATACGCAAAAGGACGTGCCCTTAAAATAGTGTCATCTCTCCAAAAAAAAAATAAGGATTTACGTCACGCTTTATTGCGTGCCCTTAATTTAGTGTCTCTAGAAAAAAAATTAAAAACACGGAGGGCGCTTTATCTTAAACGCGCGTCGTCTGTACCTGTCGCTTTATAATTTTAATTAAGCGCACTTTTAGTAGACAAGGGGGGAAATGAAATCCCCAAAATTTTGAAAACCCGCCTTTTTTTTCTATTTTCCCCAATTTTCAGCTCCCGATTCTTCCCTTCTTGTTCTAATCTTACCCTTCGATTCCACCCCACCCTCCTAATCTCACTGATTCCTTCATTTTCAATGGGATCTCTTTCTTTGTGAGTTTTCTTTTCACGTCACAACAGTTGATCATCGAAGAAGCAATTTTCCAAATCTTTTTGTTGTTAATCAAAATTGCATGTATGGCGATCAAATTCACTGTTTCTTACTCAGGCTACGTGGCCCAAAACCTAGCCACCGCCTCCGGAAAATCCAATACATGCCGAATTTTCACGAGGTTTTTTCTCGTCCTCGTATATTCCAGAATCCCGACCGAGATCCCGTCGCCGGGTACGGTCCGGCAGCAACGGCGGGTTCAAGATCCATCCCCTCTGCATCCATGAGCCCTACCCTTGATGTGGGTGATCGCATAATGGCTGAAAAGGTATAATCCCAATTCTAACCTTATTACACACTATATGAATGATGGTTGCCAATTTCGCCATTTTGGCTTTTCAATTCACATAGTGATTGTATGCAAGGTTTTGAGTTTTTGCCTGTTATTGATTTAGGTTTCATACATCTTTCGGAAGCCAGAAGTTTCAGATATTGTTATCTTCAAGGCTCCTCCCATTCTTCAGGTGCGATTTCACTTCTTGATTATAAGTATCTTTGATTAGTTCTGTGTTTTGTTGTTTGTTCATTGTCTTCTATCAATAATCTTGTAGGAATTTGGCTACAGTTCTGGTGATGTATTTATAAAAAGAATTGTAGCAAAGGCTGGAGATTGGGTTGAGGTAAGATTATGATTTATGATTAGTTTTGACAAAAACACAATCTTGATACAGCTTCGTGATGGTTCTTCTCATCAAGGCACTGTTACATCAATGGAACCCAATGAGTGTCTTTTTGTCCTCAATTCCAAGACCTCCAAGGTAAACAAGCTACTTTCTTTACTCTTTAACAAACCTAAACGAGGGCAAATTCATAATATGTTGTTTTGCAGAAAGGCAAGATTAAGGCTGTTCACCTTGTTGATGTTCCTGGCCACTCACGTTTGCGCCCTAAATTGGACGAATATGTCCCTCGAGCAGCTGGCTTAGTATTTGTTGTAGATGCAGTGGAATTCTTGCCCAATTGTCGTGCTGTTTCAGAGTAATTTATTTTTTTAATTATGATTTGAAACTTAATTCCATATGTGTTTTTTTATGGATATTAATCTTAACATATATTGTTTTGTTTGCAAAAAGGTATCTCCATGACATTTTAACAAAATCGAGTGTTGTCAAGAGGAAAATTCCACTTCTTATCCTTTGCAACAACGTGGATAAAGTCACTGCACATACAAAAGAGTTCATCCGAAAACAACTGGAGAAAGAAATGTATGTTACACTTGTTTTGTCTGTGTTGTAAATGAAAAGGGTAAAACAGTAATTTACTCACATTCTTGAATGAATTTGTAGTGATAAGCTTCGGACATCAAGAAAAGTTGTATCAGATGCGGATATATCTAATGAATTCACACTCAGAATCCCAGGGGAACCCTTTTCATTCTCTCACTGTGTAAACAAAGTCACTGTTGTTGAGGCTTCTGCATTAACTGGTGAGATTCAACCCTTGGAGCTCTTCATTAGGGAACGTGTCAAGCCTTGATCTTTCACTAAATTCCATTCCATTTGTCAAAACGGAATTAGATAAATATCAACGGAATCGGAAACGAAATCGAAACTTTTCAGGACAATATCGTAATTTGTGACACAGGTAAAATTAAATATTTTCCTTTTGTTTTAATTGATGAACTACAATATCCTCTAAGAAACAAGAGTGTTTAGATGGTCAGGTGGTGCGGAAATACAACAAAACTTGTGAGCCAATGACAAGCTTTGAGTTTTCAAATTTTGGAATGTTAGGAATGCCATACTGGTTGTTGCCCCTTATGAAATCAGCTTATGATATGAGCTCTGTTTTTCACATGGTCTAGGACCACTAATTGCTTAGGATGGTAACTGGGTTGTCTTTTCGCGCCCTCCTTTGATACACCATAAAGGCATGAAGATGCTCTCTCTCTCTCTCTCTCTCTCTCTCTCTCTCTCTCCAAATTCTAAAACAAACAACAACAGGTAAATAGATGCCAACATTTTGCTTAAAATTCTGTGAACATTGAAAAAAATGAGGTCGATAGTGCCTTTTTCATGAGATTGTCAAAAGTTGAATAAAATAAAAAAAAATAAACAAGGGTAATATTGTAATAGGGAGGGTCTTAATATATAAAGTGACCAGCCTCTCACTTAGCACGACAAGTCATTTTGATTTTATTAAGTAAAAAAGAAACAACCTTATCAATCTACATGCATTTAGTCATGTACTGTTGTCCCACAATTTGTCATCATAGAAGAAGACCCTGCTGTCCCACAAGGGTAATATTGTAATAGGGCTGCTTTATATGTCATCATAGAAGACCCTGCTGTCCCATAATTTGTAACAATTTGTATTATCATTATTTGATTTTAATAATAATTTATTTTGTTTTATTGTTGAGGTTATAGACTGATAGTCTTACTTTTCATGTCATTATTATTTATTTCTTTTTTTGTTTGCAGTTTCTTGCAGAAACTTTGGATGTTGTTCAAGACATTGATTGGGTCATTTCTCTTGGAAATGCTTTTGCAAAGCAGTATGAGCTTTATACATATGGTGATGAGCATTCTGCACTACTTCACAGGTATGAACTCATTATCATTATCATTACATTTTTTTAATTAAATTATCTTATTGAGAGTATTCTTCTCCTACAAATGTCTTGGTATACTTCTTCAGAAAGTTGATAACATGACTTATGTTCGTGATAAAATCGTCTGGATGTACAACCCAATGCAGGCTTATTTTGGTGCTGGATTAAGTGGAGTTCTGGCTTGGTGTGTGCGAGTGGGAAGGAACCAACCCAATGCCCCCGGAGTTCTGGCACCTTCCATCTTTACTTCCTATGTATCCAGGTTAATCTACTCGTATTTATTCATGTCTCAAAGTGTGTATTCCAATATCAGGTATCATGATTTGTGTATTTATAAAATTTTGAAATAGGGTCTTGTTCAATGCTTTAGCTGTGTTTGCTCTAAGGGAGATTAACTTATCAAAAGTTAGTTACTGTTTCACCCTTTTATTTAATATTTTTGTGATTGAATGAAAGTCTTAATGAAAGTAATTGACAACCCTTTCTCTGTAAATGTTGTTGTGATTGTGGGAGAGGTGTTGTGTTTTTCTCTGTTGCTAGGTAACCTTCTCAACAACAACATTCTACTTAAGCAGGTGAGTAATCAAGATTAAGGGAGACTTGTAATCATGTTTGACATTCCTTTCCAGTAAGAAACAGAGTTGTATGATTATTTGTTAGTTTTATAGGAATGTATAACCCATGTTAGCAATGTATTATTTTTGTTTAACATTTGAATGATTCTTTGTATGACATTACAATTTGTGTAATTTATTTTATTTTTTGAGTATGAAATTTTATTTTATATTATGCAATGGATTGTATTTTTTTTATATGGTATTTTATTTCTATTATGAGAAATTAAATGCAAATTTAATTTAAAAATTAATAAATATATAAATTTATTTTTTTTAAACATTTAAATTTACGATACGCAAAAATGTGTGTCATCTTCATTTATGACATGGCCTTTCTTGACAGGGGCTTTCTTGATACGCAGTGCGTGTCATTAACACGCGCGTCGTAAGGTTACGACACGCGAATGCGTGTCATCTTCCTTTATGACAGGGCCTTCCTTGATACGCATTGCGTGTCGTAAACGCGCGTCGTAATTGCGCGTCGTAAATGAGCGTCGTAAATGCGCGTCGTCTCTCTTTATGACAGGGCCTTCCTTGACACGCATTTGCGCGTCGTCGGAGCCTTTTACGACGCGCAATGAGCGTCGTAAAAGGCTGTTTTTCTAGTAGTGTTTGAATATAGATTCTTCCAATAGTATGGATAAGGCATCCTTGTGGCATTTTCGCCTTGGACATGTCAACAAGAAACGCATAGCCCAACTCCAAAACGATGGAGTGTTGGAGTCATTCGACCTTAGGGAAGATGACACGTGCGAGTCTTGTTTACTTGGAAAGATGACTAAGTCACCCTTCACGAGTACGTGCGAAAGGGGTGAGGGTCTAATGGACCTAATACATACCGATGTATGTGGACCGTTTAGATCAACCACGAAGGATGGGAACCGCTTGTACATGACTTTTACCGATGACTATAGTAGATATGGGTATATCTATTTAATCAAGCAAAAGTCAGAAACTTTTGAAAAGTTCAAAGAGTTCAAGAATGAAGTGGAGAATCAATTGGGCAGGAAAATCAAGATGCTTCGATCCGATCGAGGAGGAGAGTACCTAAGTCTTGAATTTCACGATTATCTCAAGGAGTGTGGAATAGTTTCACAATTGACGCCTCCTAGGACACCACAATTGAATGGTGTGGCAGAAAGGCGTAATCGAACCTTGTTGGACATGGTTCGCTCTATGATGAGTCGTGCTTCACTACCAATCTCTTTTTGGGGGTATGCCTTAGAGACTGCCGCCCATATCCTTAACCGAGTCCCTACTAAGAAGGTTGCCAAAATACCTCACGAGATGTGGATAGGGAAAGCTCCCTCGTTGGCACATGTCAAGGTTTGGGGTTGCGAGGCTTTCGTAAGACGATATACTCACGACAAGCTCGAACCTCGTAGTGAGCGATGTATTTTCATCGGCTACCCGTAGAAATCCTTTGGATATCTCTTCTATAGACCGAAGGACAACGTTGTCTTTGTTGCGAGGAGAGGGGTTTTCCGAGAGCGAGAACTCATAAGCCAAGGAGACAGTGGGAGGCAAATCGAGCTTGAAGGGATTCAAGCGTTGATAGATGAAGGAACCTCTACCGCTGGCACTCAACTCGAGGAAGAAACTCCAGTTGAACCGATTGACAAGTCCTTACCTCTTAGACATTCCGATAGAGTTAGAGTTCAACCCCAGTTTTATGGTTTTAATATTACTACCGAAGGGGACACGTATATTAGTGATGGTACACTAATAAATCTTGATGAACCAAATTGCTATAAGGAAGCCATGGCAGGCCCGGAGTATGCGAAATGGAAAGAGGCAATGGATAGCGAGATCCAATCCATGTATGATAACCAAGTTTGGAATTTGGTTGATAATGTGCCCGGACGTAAGACCGTTGGGTGCAAATGGATCTTCAAGAAGAAGACCGACGTGGATGGAAACATACACACATATAAAGCGCGATTGGTTGCGAAGGGCTTTACTTAAACTCCCGGAGTTGACTATGATGAGACCTTCTCACCAGTTGCGAAGATAAAATCTATTAGAGTGATGCTAGCGATTGCCGCATTTCATAATTATGAGATTTGGCAAATGGATGTCAAGACCGCTTTCCTTAATGGGAAGTTGGCTGAGGATGTTTACATGGCTCAGCCAGAGGGGTTTGTGGATCCGAAGCATCCGAATAGAGTGTGTAAGCTTGAGAAGTCCATTTATGGACTTAAGCAAGCATCTCGCAGATGGAATCTTTGCTTCGATGAGAAAGTCAAAGAGTTTGGATTTGTACGAAGCGAAGATGAGTCGTGTGTATATGTCAAAGCCAGTGGGAGTATAGTAAGCTTTCTCGTTCTATATGTCGATGACATATTACTCATAGGAAACGACATCCCAACTCTGCAGGAGGTTAAGTCCTGGCTCGGGAAGTGCTTCGCTATGAAGGACCTCGGAGAGGCTTCCTATATTTTGGGAATAAGGATAGTGAGAGAAAGAAGTAAGAGACTAATAGGACTTAGTCATAACACTTACTTAGAGAAGGTACTAAAACGTTTTAGTATGGAAAACTCGAAGAAGGGAGAATTACCGATACAAAGTAATGCCAAGTTGAGTAAGACTCAAAGTCCGAGTACCGAAGCTGAAATAGCAGAAATGGGCCGAGTACCATACGCTTCCGCAGTAGGCTCAATCATGTACGCTATGACTTGTACTCCCCCTGATGTAGCCTTTGCTTTGAGCATGGTTAGTAGATATCAAGGGAACCCTGGCAGAGCCCATTGGATTGCAGTGAAGAATATCCTTAAGTACCTTCGGAGGACGATGGAATGGTTCTTAGTCCTCGGAGGGAGTGATGACTTGAAGGTGCGGGGGTATAGTGACACCAGCTTTCAGACCGACAGGAACAACTACCGTTCGTAGTCGGGCTGGGTCTTCACCTTGAATGGAGGAGCAGTGACATGGAAAAGTTCCAAGCAAGAAACTGTAGCTGATTCAACGTGTGAATCAGAGTACATTGCAGCGAGCGAAGCATCGAAGGACGCAATATGGCTGAAGAACTTCATCGGTTGGAGATTTTCTGTGATAATGAAGAAGCGGTTGCCTTGACCGAGGAACCGAGAGATCATGGTAGATCAGGACATATCAACAGAAAATATCACTTTATTAGACATCATGTAGAAGAAGGACAACTCGTAGTGAAGAGGATATCATCGGAGGATAACCCAGCAGATCCGCTTACGAAGGGACTGAGTAGGGTTAAGCACTTGCAGCATGCTAGGAGTATTGGGCTAAAGGATGATATTAGCATGGATTAGATAGTAGTAGAAACGTGTAATAGATAAATGTAATTAACATTTGATGATTAAATAAAGGAGTTTTATTTATGAGTAATGTTACTGTCTTATGTTAATTGTTTAACTATTGTTTCATTTTGCATGTTTTGACTTCCAGAATAATTGAGTTTATTAAGAATAATCGAATTATTCAAATTTTCCACAATCGTTCATATGTTGGAAGTAGATATGAGTGAAGGTTGTCGTGAATTGGTGCGTAGATTGTCTAAATGGTTTTAGACATAGCAAAAGATTGATGCGACGTTCATGAGTCCTTATGAACTAGTTTTGAGCATTGGAACAAACCCACGCTTGCTGGAATCACCTTATGGAATATGATATAAAAGGGTGATCGCAAGACGATAATACCATATAGTCTTAAATCCTAGATATATGGTTTGTTATTTATTAATTGACTGTACATTGATAATGCGAAAACGCATCAGTAACTCGATATTATAAAACGCATTGTTGTGTATAGTTGATTAATGAATAAGTAAATGCATATAAGTCGAAGTTTATCTGTAACTTTTATCCTAAGAAGGTAAAAGCGATATCTCGGTCGCTCGATGATTTGATTTGACTTATGTGTCGGGCCCGGTCAGAACTGAATTGATGTGTTCGATTAAGTTCTATGTCAAATAAATCAGAGATCGAGAAACCTAAATGCTTGACTAATCATTCCATAGAATTGTCAGCATGATATCTAACAGAGGACTGTACGATCCCTTATCTAAATGACAAGATTGATTAGATTAGAGTTTGACAGCGTCTTTGAGAGCTACGATTGCAAATCGAATTGTACTTGTGCATATAGTTATTAGACTTATCCAAGTGGGAGACTGTTGGAATAGTGTCTAAGGCTGCAACTATATTAGGCAAGTATTTGACCCGATTGTTCATAGTCCTTTTGGGTTGCCTTCACCAAAGCAAATTGATAGGATGATCTATTATGAGAGAATAAATATTATTAATATATTATGAGAATAATATAAGGAATAATAATATTGTTATTTGATTAATATAAGTCATAAATTAATTAGTATTAATTTGGTCACTTAAAGAGATTAATTAAATAAAAGGGTATAAATTGTCAATTGTTTGATAGTTACACTTTAGACTGTAAATCCTTATTGGATGAAGGATGGACGGATTCTAGGGCTAGGGATAGCCTCAAATCGTCCAATGATTATCTAAGGAAAGGATTTGGATTGCTTTAAGGAAAGATTATCCAACTAGGGTTTAAGGTGAAACCCTTAAGGAGTCTACAAGTATAAATAGACCCTATGGCCAAGGGAAATAGGCATCTCATCAAAAGTAGAGAACCCCTGGCCGATTTCCTCCTAACCTCTCTCTCAAATCATCCTTCTTGCTAGTTGGTGTTTGTAAGCCATTAGAGGAGTGAGAATTGTGACTCTAGAGCTCCAAGACAACAAGATCAAACAAGAGATTCAAAGGTAAACTTCTAGATATGATTTTGTATTGTTCTTATACCTAATTAGTTGTTATAAGTCTTGGATTCAAAGCATGTTTAATTAGAATGCCTAGATCCAAGCATTAGGGTTTTGCATGCGCGCATAGGAAAGCTCTTATGGGTAAAACCCATCAATTATATGTTAACTAGGATCATAGAGTGTGTTCAAGACTTCACTTGACACCTAGCAATCCTACGTCTTCAGTTCATCCGTACTACTCACTATAGGTGAGTTCATACCCCTAAATTAATCTTTTAAATGTTTTCAAATGTTTACAAATACTTTTATGGGGGGGGGGGAATACAAGTAAAGTT